CAACAGACTTCTACATACTGATTGTGAATGTAACTTTGCTAAACTACAGATATTAACTGAATTGTCTACATAACATAGTCATACCAACATGGTACATTAAAAGTAGTTTCCAAGTGTATTTTTGTGCCAATATCATGCTGTTTTTTTTTAGTATTGCTCTGTGGTATAGTTTAAGGTCTGGTATTGTGATGCTTCCTGCTTCACTTTTCTTGCTAAGGATTTCTTTGGCTATTCTGGCTCTCTAATTTTTCCAAATAAAATTCATGATTGCTTTTTTTTTGGGTATTTCTATGAAGAATGTTCTTGAGATTTTAATAGGAATTGCATTAAATCTGTATAACATGGGCTGGGGATGTGGCTCAAGCGGTAGTGCGCTCGTCTGGCATGCGTGCGGCCCAGGTTCGATCCTCAGCACCACATACAAACAACGATGTTGTGTCCGCTGATCACTAAAAAATAAATATTAAAAATTCTCTCTCTCTCTCCCTCTCTCTTTAAAAAAAAAATCTGTATAACACTTTATAGTATGGCCATTTTGACAAGTCTTCCTATCCAGGAGCATGGCCGATCTTTCTATCTTCTCAGGTTTTCTTCAATTTCTTTCTTTAGTGTTTTGTAGTTTCATTGTAGAGGTATTTCACCTTTTGTTACATTGATTCACAGGTTTTTTTTTTTTGAGGCTATTGTGAATGGGGTAGTTTCCCTAACTTCTCTTTCAGTGGATTCATTACTGATGTATAGGAATGCATTTGATTTGTAAGTGTTGATTTTATATCCTGCTACTTCACTGAATTCATTTATTAGTTCTAGAAGTTGTCTGGTGGAATTTTCTGGATCTTCTAGATATTGAATCATGTCATCAGCAAATAGTGATAGTTTGAATTCTTCTTTACCTATTTGTATCCCTTTAATTTCTTTCTTCTAATTGCTCTGGCTAGAGTTTCAAGGATGATGTTAAATATAAGTGGTGAAAGAGGACATCCTTGACTTGTTTCAACTTTTAGAGGGAATGCTTTCAATTTTCCTCCATTTAGAATGATACTGGCATTGGGTATAGCTTTTACTATCCCTAGTTTTTTTGGTGTTTTGAACACCAAGTTGTGCTGTATTTTGTCAAATGCTTTTTATGCATTCTATTGAGATAATCATATGATTCTTGTTTTTAAGTCTATTAATATGATGGATTACATTTATTGATTTCCTTATATTGAACCAACCCCTGCATCCCTGGGATGAGCTCCACTTGATCCTGGTGTACTATCTTTTTAAAATGTTTTTGCATGCAATTTGCCAGAATTTTATTGAGAATTTTTGCATCTATGTTTATCAGAGATATTGGTCTGAAGTTTTCTTTCCTTGATGTGTCTTTGGTTTTGGTATCAGGATGATGATAGACTCATAGAATGAGTTTGGAAGTGTTCCCTCTTTTTCTATTTCATGGAATACTTTGGAAGAGTATTATGTTAATTCTTTTTTTCTTGTTTCTTGTGGGTAGGCTTTTAAAAAATATTTTTAGTTGTAAATAGACCTTTATTTTATTTATTTATATGCGGTGCTGAGAATTGAACCCAGTGTCTCATACATGCTATGCAAGTGCTGTACCACTGAGTCACAACCCCAGCCCTGTTGGCAGCCCTGTTGGTAGGCTTTTGATGGCATTTTCTATTTCATTATTTGAAATTGATCTGTTTAAATTGTGTATGACCTCCTCATTCAGTTTGGGTAGGTCATATGTCTCTAGAAATTTGGTGATGTCTTCAGTATTTTCTATTTTATTGGAGTATAAAGTACCAAAATAGACTTATAGACCAATGGTACAGAATAGAGGACACAGAGACAAACCCACATAAGTACGTTATCTCATACTAGACAAAGGTGCCAAAAACATTCACTGGAGAAAAGATAGCCTATTCCACAAATGGTGCTGGGGAAATTGGAAATCCATATGTAGCAAAATGAAATTAAATCTCTATCTCTCACCCTGCACAAAAATCAACAGAAAGTGGATCAGAGACTTAGGCACTAGAACAGAGACCCTGCACCTAATAGAAGAAAAAGTAGGCCCAAATCTTCACCATGTGGGCCTAGGATCTTACTTCCTTAACAAGACCTCTAAAGCACAAGAAGTACAATCAAGAATCAATAAATGGGATTAATTCAAATTAAAAAGCTCTTCTTAACAAAGAAAACAATCAATAATGTGAAAAGAGAGCCTACAGATTGGGAGAAAATCTTACCACATGCACCTCTGATAAAGCATTAATCTCTAAGATATATAAAGAACTAAAAAAAAACACCAAAAAAATAATAACCCAATYAATAAATGAGCTAGTGAATAGAGACTTCACAGAAAAAGTTTTTTAAAAATAGTTTAAAATACTCATAAACTCTAAATAAATTCTCAGCATGTAAACAGGCCCATGGAGGGAAAGTATTGTCAACCCTCCACAAACACTTCTCATAAACTTGAACAATATACTTTGCACAAGGCTTTCTGGTGGCCTGGCAGCTCTAAAGGGAATCTCCATGATGCCCTTTCCCCTTGCTCACATCTGTTTCCAAGTGTCCGAAGACAACTTTCCAATGAACAATTTCTACCATATTATTGGTAGCAGGGCACTGTGTAAGCTCTGGGTACTCTAGAAACAGCAACCCCTTCTCAGGAGACACTTGCTTCAGTGCCTCCAGGAAGCTGGAACATTCGGGCTGAAGGCTCCAAGCTGAACAAGATCCCAGGAGGCCCTAAAGGCAGAAAGGACATGACAGTGCCACCCTCACTTGTGAGGTCTGTATGCTCTGAGTGGGTGGTATCCACATATTAAAACTGAAGGAGTTTAAAGTAAGTTTTATTACAGGATAATGAAGAGGTTCTGGAAATGGACACTTGAGCATAGTCACAGAACAATGTGAATATATTAGTACCACTGAACTGTACACTTAAAAATGGTTCAAATGGCAAATTTAGTGTATTTTACAATAAAAATATCTAAAGATGCTTTTTCTATTGTTCAGTGTTTTCTGCTCTTATTGAGTAATCACATCATTAAGAGGACTAACCAGCTGGTGCAGTGGCGCATGCCTGTAATCCCATTGGGAGGCTTAGGTAGAAGGATCTTGAGTTCAAAGCCAGCCTCAACAAAAGCAAGGTTCTAAGCAACTCAGTGAGACCCTGTCTCTAAATAAAATACAAATAGTGCTGGGGAATATGGCTCAGTGGCCGAGTGCCTCTGAGTTCAATCCCTGGTACCAAAAAAAAAAAAAAAAAAAAAAAAAACCCCACAAAAAAACCACTAGCCATCAAAATTTGACAGCCCTGTATTTGAGATTTGGTTGTGCTTGCTGCATCTGAGGWACCTAAAAGCATGTCACTTAGTTAAGCCTCAGTTTCCTCATCTGTAACACAGGAATAACAATATGCTCACTTACCTATTATAGGTTGCTGTGAAATATCAACTTGGTAGATTTTTAGTATACCCGAAGGGGCTCAACAAATATTAGCTCATTTTCCTTTTAGGTTTTCATACCAATATGATTCTTGTACTTTGTGTAAGGAAGACTCAGAAAATCGGCTTTAGCATAAAAAGGCTGTTTATTCATTTCTCCTTAGACCTTAATGTTACAGAGAACTATAAGACAACATGCCATAAAACACATTTCATATTATAGTCAAGTGATATATGAGCCCAAGCATTGCCCACTGAGTCAATGGTTAATAATCTTAAAGTATCATATTCTAAGAGGCAACAATTTCAGAAAAGTCACAACAACTTCAAATACTTAAATATATTTAATGTGTGTGTATAAACCTATATATATAATTTTTWAAAATCAAGTATAACATAGCATACAAAAACACAAGACTAGTAATATAGGTCACACATACAATGAGGCTTACTGTACTCTCAGAATGAACTTAAATAAATTTTTGCTTAATTATAATGAAATATACATTTTGAATAATTAGTCCAGGTAGAAAAGTACATGAAATGATTTATAAGTCAAAACATTTCATATGATAGAAATAGTTTTAGCAAAATCCACACAATATCAAGAGAAAATGCATTGGATTTAAAAATTTGGAACTGTCATAAAATAAAAATTTATATAGATGAAGCTAAGGGGTAAAAAACTATCTCAAATGTATTTAGATCATCTAAAGCTAAATCAGATATAACTAAACTATATAATTTAAATTATAATTTTTATATATTATATATAACTTTATTATGCAATAGGAATAATATAATTATACTATGTTAAATAATATAAATTAATATAAATAATAATATTATATAAATATATTTATCTATTATATATATTATTATATAATATATAATTATAAACTTTTTGGTATTTAAGTGCATTTTCTTCATACAATTTAACTGAATACCATGTTAAAAACAGACAATTAGAAGGCAATTAGATTCAGATTTGCAAGCTTTGGGGCCATTATGTAAATATTAGAAATTTAAGTGAATTGCCAATTGAACAATAAAAGTTTATACACATACAAGAAACACACAATGGTCAAAGATTCACTATAACATTGTATGGGAAAAAACATATTCATACCCAATAAATATTTTTCAGGCAATTGCATTCAGAAACATTTTATAAATAAGCACTTAGTTTTGCTCCAAAATAAAGCCAATTTTCCCCTCCTGCACCTATTTGTTGAGAACTATATCATACATTAGGGATGCATTTAAATGGATCACTTTATGGGGAAAATCATTTGAAATTTTAAAATTATGACACTTATTTTATGCACAACTTCAAAAACACAGAATTTAAGGACAATTCCAGTGAGGCACTACCATTCTATATGACTAAAACACGACCTATTCTATATGACTGGCAAACACCATACAAGAACAAAAGGCAAAATACACACTTTAGCAAGCCTATACAAAAGGGGTCCTGTCAAAACATTCTTTCACAAAACAAACACAATACCATAAAACAAAAACAACAAAATAACAAAACTGAATTTTACAACCCTACACAAATTGTGGGATTTCATCATCAAGGTATTCAAACTGTTGCATTCGTTTTAGCCTGGGTCTCTGGCATGTTGGATTCACATCAGGCAGGTTGTGCTCCTCAGAGTTCTCTTTAGGCTTACCACCTGGCTGCAAAGGACAAGCTGATGTGCTGTCTGCGTCTGCAACTGGTTTCTCCACATGACTCAGGGGAGTACCAGCTGTGCTAGGAGGGGTGGATGCTGAGGGCGAAGCTGGTCTCTCCTCAGTCCCTCTGATGTTGCTGGGGGTATGTGGTTTGTAAAATGTTGTCCAGTGTAGGGGCTGTAATGTTCTGGGTGCTCTGGCAAGAGTGAGAGGGCAAGAATTGGAGGACCCTCTCTCTGACACCTCTCTTGCTGATYTGGCTGGCATGTTGGGCTGTGTGGCACTGCTGGAATGGTCACCACTGATCCTAACGCTCAATGTCACTTTTTCCTGGAGTGCACTTGGCACAATCATGGCAGTCTTGGCAGTTAAGTTGTTTTGTTCACGTTGTTGTCCTCGAGTTTTGTGTGGAATCTGCTGATCAAAGACATTAAATTTGGAACATACAGTAGTAGGGGTATCTTTTCTATAAAGTTCTYCAAAGGTAGGATTATTGCAAAACTTGTCTGAATTGACATTTCCCACATTTCTGCTGTTTTTCTCAGTAGGAGGGCTTGAAAGAAGTACTACATCTTCAGGCAAATTTACAGGCCTAATCTTGGTCCTTGGTGTGTGCTTCTGCATATTGTTTGTTGTCACTTCAGATTTCAGAATAAGTGGCTTAGTGGTTCCACAAATATCATCCATCTTTTGAAATGATGATTCAAGTTCTTTGTTATCTGAAAAAAGAAAGATTTTTTTTTTTAACTTGGTTAACTCGGTTAATAAGGGAGTGTGGTTAGTTATAAATGGGCACTCTCTCAAAACAACACAGACTTATATATTTTTTCCAGCATGATATTCTCAGTCATCTATACAGAGGAATTAAAAATTCATAAGCATTAAAGGTACATTTTGAATTAAAGAATTACTTTTTAAAATTTAAATAAAAAATTTATAAATTTAGATAAACACAAAATTTACCTAAATCAATACACTAAATAGCCACAAAGCACATCACAGATTGGTTAAATAAAACCAAACAAAAAACACTTTCCTAAATAACTTGTTTTAATACATTATCCATGAATGAAGGTTTTCTGGGTTAAGACTATCCTGATTTCAACAGGCAGACACTGGTAACCTCAGAACACTAAAACTATTTTATATCCAACCAAAGGCATGTCCTGAATCCCAAGGACTTTTCCTATCACTTCATCTGCTTTCCAGCTACATTCTGTCCATACTGAGGGCACACACCAGAGAGGACGTGGATGCTCTCCCAGCTGATCAACTAATATATGGAAACATTGGTCAAATTAATGTTGAAGAGTTGTCAAAATTGCCATTCTGCTACTGGTACTGGTGACTCCAGATTTACTTCCTTCTCTTTCTCCTCTAGTCTGGTCCCAAGATCCCTATTTTCTCACTTAGAACCCTAGCTCCTCACACTCTGTCTTTGCTGCTTTACCCCAGAAGCTCTTGTTGCTAGAAAGGTGCAGCCCTCCATCCAGGATCCTCCTCTCCCTGCTGAGAAACATAAGACAACTGTGCACCTTGGCTGGTCAGATGGCTTTGCCACTGGCCCTGTTCATAGCCCACTGCCCTTGTCCCTGCCACCTGGTCCTTCTCCCACATCCTTGGGCAGTGGTTTGCAGACAGAAGCACACCAGCATCACTTGCAGGTCATCATCTCATCTGACTTCCTTCTTCACCTGAGGCTGCTGGCCTCTCTTCCTTGGTTCCCATGCAGTGCTCCTATGATTTGCTGTCCTGGGCCCTTCTCCACATTGATAGAAGGGAGCTGAGCCATTGTGGTTGGATGGTAAAAAYCAGAGCATTTTTATTATCCTGCAGAACTTCTAGCATGATGAAGACTGCAGGCTCTGCAGCCTGGTGTCTGGATAGTGGCTCAGTTTCTGCTCCAGTTCTGACCTGGCAAGTCCATTGCACTAATCCTACCTGCCTTCCTCTGTCAAGAAAGATCCCTATATGGAGCTATGCTATCATGTGGTCTTTTTTTAAAAAAATATATATTTTTTTTGGTTGTAATTGGACACAATACCTTTATTTTGTTTTTATGTGGTGCTGAGGATTGAACCCAGGGCCTTGTGCATGCTAGGCAAGCACTCTACCGCTGAGCCACCACCCCAACCCATATCATGTGGTCTTAAATGATCTAATAAGGAAAAGGCTTAGAATTATCTGGTATGTAATAAAAACTTAAAAATATTTTAAAAATATTTATTGTTATTACTATGCCAAACTAGGAATCCAATTTCATTGGACAGTGAAACAAGTTTGGATTTAGAAATAAGACAGAACTAAGTTCAAATCCTGAATGAACAATAATTTAGGCACATGATATTCTCAGTCATCTATACAGAGGAATTAACATAATTGTTAATTATATTAATTAACGTTCCTTAGACTGTTAGTTATGGCTTAAATGAGGCTAATGTTCATAGCACAGAACTGGAAATAGGATCACATCAGATAAATGGAATCAGTGAGTCCAGTACTACTTTTAGCAGGTAGGTAATTGACTCCCTTTGTTTTCAGATTTTCTCAGGCTACACTCATTGATATTTAATTTTATACAAATTTAACATATGTGGCTATATTAAAAAAAAGTTGGAATTAAGCTCTACAAAGCAGTAACAAATAGAAGGTTTTCAACCACCTTAACAGAAACCACTCACTGAAATAAAATTATCAGAGAAAAACAATGAATTAAAAGAACCACAGCCAAGGAAAAAGAAGACATGTATGCTTAATGTATTAGGTAGCCCATGGGTAAAAGTATGTCAAAAAACTTTAGGAGTCTCTTTTTTTGAATTTTAGAAGTCCAGTGTATTTCTGCCTTAACTTTTTAAAAAATATTTATTTAGTTGTAGACGAACACAYGGTATCTTTATTTCATTTTATGTGGTGCTGAGGATAGAATCTGGTGCCTTACACATGCAAGGCAAGTGCTTTATTTCTGAACTACAGCCCCAGCCCTTTGCCTTGACTTTAATTGATGAGAAGAAGTAAAAATGAAAACAAATTTCAGAAGGAAAACAAAAAACATTTATGAATTCCAAGATATCTTTTTACAAAAAAGAAACAAAAAATGATATTCATTTATATTACATTCATTAACTTTCTCAATGGCTAGCACACTTAACTAATAAAACTTTAAAATTTGAACTTCCCTCAACTTCACTCACCTTGGATTTTAATATGTTTGTATATTTTCAAACTTTACAAATATTTTACATGACCACTCACCAATGAGACATGCATCACATTTTTCCAATGTATTTTGCTTGCGTTCTGATTCCTCAAATGATGTAGCTGATTTAAAATTTTCACTTTCACCATTTGCAGTGTGGCTATCCTATTGATGCAAGAGAATTTTTAAACTAAAAAAACAAAACACACCTCAAAATAAATAGTTCAGAGTGTTGACTTATTAACACAAACATCACAAAGTTCTAATGCAATTCTATAATGGTTGAAACTCACTTCCTTTGAAGAAAAATATAGTGACTTCATGGAATGTTGTATCTCTCTTTCTTTTGGTGATATCACAAGTTTTGAAGGACAGCTTAGCTGAGGTGCAACAACATCTGTATTACATGTAACATCTTGTAGCTGAAGGGACCCATTGAAGATCTTCTGTGAGTAAGTTATGAGGAACTCTACTAATCGTGTCTTATTTACATATTCAACAAGGGTGGCGTTGGTGATGGGAACACCTGTGGGCCTTTGCTTCATAAGACAGGGCGCAAATATCACCCCCAAGTCTCTGGAGGTCATCTTGTTTTCTTCAGCATGGTCTACTACCCTGAAAAGAAGAACACACAAAGCTGTATGAGATTTGCCTATTAGAGGTCCTTAATGGTAGTTTACTATGAATTGAGAAGGGTAGAGGAAGCATGGGCTACAGAAGTCTACAGAAAGTTTGTCAAAGGTCAGGTTTGGTGGGTCTAGGTAAAGAATACATTTGTTTGATTACAATATTTACCACACACCAAACTGAGTTTCCGAGTACTACATTAGTATAAAATTCACAGAAGTAGAAGGAACTACTGACGTTTTAGCAGCAGAAGGAAAAAAATACCCCTAAAAATTGCTCCTTCTTTGTATATGGTATGTACTTCTAGGTCCTTATATTGGAAACTAAAACATCACTGTCAATTTCTCTCTCACTGCCCACAGTTTTCTTTTTAAAAAATATCTTCAGTTGTAGAGATACAATATCTTTATTTATTTATTTACTTTGATTCAGTGTTGAATATCAAACCCAGTGTCTCACACGTGCTAGACAAGCATTCTACCACTGAGCCACATTCCCAGCCCCACACTAGCTAGTTTTCTAGTCTAGATGATTCTCTCTCCTGAACATCTCTTTGTTCTACTGCCACTCTTGATGTTCTGGCTTTACTTCAAGCACTCACAGCTTTTTATTTCTATGACTATTCAAAGAGATCTGAATTGCAGAAGGCATCTCCACCAACCCATTTTTGATATTGCTGTCAGAAAGATCTATCAGGCAAAACTGGGCATGTGAAATTCTGGACTCCAAGTTCTTTAGTGGGTACAGAAACATTATGGTCAACTCATCAACTGTAGGTAGGATTTTCTTATCAGGCCTGTAGATAGGGTAGCACAGTTCCTGCTACTGCTTGCTATATTGTAGTCTAACAAAATTATATTTTCCAAATGTAAAATGCTTTCTTGTGTCTCCATGTCTGTTACTCTCTGCCCAGTAAGCTCTTYTGCACATTCTCTACCAAATCCCAATCAGTTCTTAAAATCTGACTCAAGGGCTTACCTCCTTTGCTTTACCCCAACCCCAAACTTCCTCTGCATGTCTGCATGCTGTGCACAGCTACTAGAAAAAGGATGATGCTGTTTTGTGGTTATGTAAAGGTCTGTCCCCCATGATGATAATAAGCCCAGAAACAGCAGAAGCCCTGTGTTTCCATCCTGGTTTGCCCAGCTAGAGCCTGACACATAGGAGGCATCTGAGGGAACAGTGTTGGCTGCATGAACATATATTCAATGTCTCCCTTTTCCAACACAGAATAAAAACATCATAAAATTGAAACAATCATTTAAAAAACAATACCACAACAATACAAATGTACTTAATGCTACTGTACTGTACAATTAAAAATGGTTAAGATGGTATAAAAATTCTTACTGCTTAAGATGTATGATAAGGTAATGAAGACTGTTAAAATTTGATGTTGGCAATTGTCCTAGAAGGTCCTTGCTTTTTAGAAGAATTCGGCTTATTTCTAAACACATATTTGGGTATTTTTTGTCATTGGGATTATCCTTGTTGGTTTCTTGTTCTTCATTAGCATGTTGGATCTCTTTTGCAAGGTTCATAAATTCCTTGTACAATTGRAATAAAATCAATGGTTCTGGGAGCTAAAGAAATAAAATTACATTAAAATATCTTCTACTTTTTTGTTGAAGTCAACTATTAGTGACAGTTACTCAAATGATTAAGCACGTTCCTTTAGATTAACAAAATTTAAAGTCAAGATATATTTATTTATTTTGCAGTACTGGGGATCGAACCTAGGACCTCAAGCATGCTAGGCACTCTACTGTTGAGCTTCATCTCCGCCCATAAAACATGTTTGCTAGAGATATAACTTATACAGCAAATCAAAATCTTCATCATAAATTGTATTTATGTTAAAACAAGTTAACAGATTATCAGTTAAACTCTAAACTTTAAATGAAGTTTAAACTTTAAGYTTCATAATGAGCTTTTAAAATTCTTGTTTATATCTTCACTATATTATATTCACATCTGTCCCCCAAATGGCATGATCTCCAGTTGTTTTATTGAAACAAACCCAGGATAATGCACAAAACAAATAAAATGAATTAGAAAAGGCACAGATTTTATTAGTAAAAAATATCAAAATTCTACAGGGCTCATGTTTTCATTGGGTCAGAATGAAGATCAGCACTAGACAATATGACCTATAAAAACATGCTTTCAACATCTTACTAATCAAATTTTAAAACAGCCTGATTTTCCAAGAGTAGATTAAAAGAAAAAGTTCCTCTAACAAATGTCCACTGCCATAATGAATTTCAATGTCTCTACTGATCTGTGATGGAAAATTCAGTGTACCTTTGGCTACCTGCTAGTCCTATATTATCTGTGGAAAGTTAGGATATTGTCCTGTGATCAGTTTCTATCTTCACCACTTTGGGATCTGAAGCAAGTCACATAATTTCTTGGAGCTTTAGGTCAATGAGTCAAATAAAGGTTACTTTCTAACACTATTGCAAGAATTGAGCACAGTTTCCCATATGAAAGCCTTGGACATACAAAATTCCTAAAGTAGAATGCAAGTTTATAGTACTGGACCCCATTAATCTCCTCTCCTTGAATATCTAAAAGAGATGAAGAATGACACATTATAAGACTTACAGTTATTCAAAGGTATAAACTTCTATTTCTCATTTGAAGGGTCTATAAAATGTGATTACAGAGTTACCAATAGTTTTCTGGGCTAACATTATAGATCCAGCAATTTATACTTAATTTCTTTTCCTCCTGTAACCCCACTAATATACAGTAAGCCCATAAGGTCTAGGAAAATAGAGAAAACAAAAAGCAATATTCACAAGTAGAAGAGCAGATGAACAAATCCTGACTCAGCAGTTCCAAGAAAGCTGAACCCTGGTCACTCAACATAATTTTCAGAATCCTAAAGGGACTTGGACAATCAGTACCAGGTCCTATGATCTTGGGGTAGGGTGCAGGTGGGCCATTGGAGACAGGTGGGCCTGTCTTCACTCCATGTTCTTGAGCAACTTCTACCTAAAAATCTGGAAATGTTTTCTCTGGGCAATGTGATACAGAGGCTCTCTGAATGGGGGAAATGCCAAACATAAGAAATAGAGAGGTGACTGTCTGAAAATGGGGATTCGTTGGCTGTATGCACACTGAATGCACAGATCCTGCAGTCATTGTTCCCATGCTAGCTCCTATAGTATTGGTACCATATCTCTAGGCAGGAAAACCCCGTTCCAGAGGGGATCAAATAAACCAGTCCAAGAGCAGGGAACTAGAAACATGTAAAAAGGCATATCCTAAATGGTCTACCTAGAACACTTTATAGGAAAGTTCAAAGTTTTTAAAAAGCCTTAATGTGTTCAAGAGCTTCCAAAGAAATTTCACTCAAATCTTAACATAACTAGACACCATGAAAGACAAAAATCAAAATGAGTAGAGAAAGAACTAACTGCAGGTCTAAAATTATGCTATCAATATGCTGGCCACTAGTTATATTTGGTGAAAGAGTACTGGAGATGCAACTGATCTAAATTGAGATGTGTTCTAAAGAAAAAATAGATACCAGATTTCAAGGACTAACAGCTCAAATATAAATAAATAAATAAACTATCTCATAATTAAAAAATACTAATTAGATATTCAAAATGTTAAATAAAATATTAAAATTAACTTCACCTATTTTTTTWAAAAATTTATGTGGCTATAGTAAATCTAATGTTATATATGAGGGTCAATCGTATTTCTACAGAGGGTTAGAAGCTAAGTAAAGAAAAGAACCCTTACAAGGAAAATCTGTGAATATCCACTGGAAAATAGCATGATATAGTCATTTTTAAAAATGTTATCAAAGGAATAGAAAATCATAATTCTTGAAAATTAAAACAGGATCTCAGGAATGAAGTAATGTACATTAGTCAAAAAGATAAAGTTGAGGAAATGTCTTAGAAAGTTATTGAAGAAAAAAAGAAGAATAGAGGAAAGGTAAGGTAAGGGAACTAGCTTCAACCAAAAAGTACAAAGACAGAGGGTGGGGAAATGGGCAATAAAAATCAAGAAAAGTTCTAAGAACTAAAGCACTGACTACTAACAGAGCTCATGGAGTGGCCATAATAGTGGATGAGAATATGTCCACATCAATATCAATATTGTAAAATCTTAGGATGATGGAGGTCAGGGGAAGATTCTATTTGCTTTTAGAGACAAAACAATAGGCACATAAAGAGTTAGGAATGAAATAAGGAGGATTCACATTTTAAGAGAACAAAAACACCCTTACCTTCATAATTCAGAGGAAAAAGAATTTCCAGCCTATAATACTAAAACTTCCACACTATCTACACTACTCCATTTCTGTCAAGAGAGTAGAAAAGACACTTATGGGTGAACAAGTTTTCAAATATTCAATCCTACACTTCACCTCGCTTAAGGACAGATATAACCAAAACAGAATAACCCCAAAACAAGGAAAACAGRAGAGGTGTTCCATCACAAAAGAGAGGAGAGTGATCTCAGGATGACAGCTAATAACCAATATAAAAGGGATCTGTAAGGGAGCAAAAGAACTCCAGAGAAGGACAGATTAAGGATTATCAGCACTATTCTCTCTGTCATTATCTCTTCATTTTCACCCAAGGATAGAAGGCCAGCTGGGTCTGACCCAAATCTCTTTGTACTTGGCTCACAACAATGTGCTGATTAAGTTCCTGTAACTCCTCTGTAAGCGGCTGCCTAAAGCCAGCAAAGTCACTTAATTCACTCCACAGATGTGTGTGTCTGTTCTGTGTGTGTGTGTGTGTGTGTGTGTGTGTGTGTGTGTGTGTGTTTGACTTACTCCTGCAAACTGCAGGTATAATAGTGAGCACAGAAAATGACAATACAGGACAGCCCACTCCCTGACCATATTCCTGCTGGACTTCTAGTACCCACTTTATGGGAAGACCTATGCTTGATGCCCCAAACATGATGAACTTCATGGCCTTGCCTACTGACCTCCCCAAATAGCTATTTTGAAACATCACTGAAGGCAAAGCTAGACTATGATCTAGATACTGTTCTACTTAGTCAATATTCCTAACAGTGTGAACACTGACTTGTACTTAATAGTTACGTTTATGCTTTTAAGTCAGTATTATAAAACTTAAAGAAACAAAAACTTAATAAGTGTTATTTATTCTTTTATGTTTAGGAAAATGTTTATCCATTTTACATGATTAGGAGGCCCTCCAAAGGTGGAGCTGGGAGGCTGCAACATGGAAGAGGTACATGGAAGACTTATACAAGGGATAGTAATATTCTATCTTCTTAAGTGGGGTGATGGGAAATAAATTTTATTTTATTATTATTATTATTATTCTTTAAACTGTATGTATATTTTATAGACATTTTATGATCTGTACATCAATAATGAGAAAAACGTTAACGTGGGAGGATCAGTGGAGTGGAGTTGGGGGAAGAAGGTAGGAAGAAGAGGAACTGAAGCAGAGTGAGTCAGATTCCATGCATGTATGAAATTGTCAGGATGAATCTAGCTACTATGTATATATATAATGCTCTAATAAAAAAAGACATCGACAGTGCCAATGAAAACATATGAAATATAAAACATATTTTTGCTCTTTTTATTTGATGGCAGGTTTAGAATAAAAACTTTACCTGTTGAAGGTATAATTTTAAGACGTCACAGATGTTATTTGGATGAAATTCTGAAAGGTCTACCAAATGCATTCCATTCTCCAAAGCTTGAAACAGTTTTTTAGTTTTTGCTTTGTTTCCAATATCACGATAAATTCCCTTGAATAGAAAAAAAATCATGCAAAATTCTACTTTACTACAAAGGACTAAATGTAGACATCTAAACATATTTGCTGTATCTACTTCAATTTTATTAGTATTTTAGAAAAAAAGTTAAAGTCAAATCAATTAACATTTTCCAAATACATGTGAATAAATTTAGTTATTACAAACTGAGAGTACTGATTTTCTTTTTTTTTAAATATTTTATTTACATTTTAGTTTTCGGCAGAGACAAAATCTTTGTTTGTATGTGGTGCTGAGGATCGAACCCAGGTCGCACCCATGCCAGGGGAGCGAGCTACCGTGCTACCACTTGAGCCACATCCCCAGCCCCACTGATTTTCTTAAAGTCTCCTTTTTATTAAAAGAAATCACACAGGCATTTATATTTTTAGAATTTTAAGAGTTAACAACATACCTGTAAACACAAGGCTCTCTTTTCAATCTCTGAGACACAAATTTTGAGTATAAAAGGAATGCCATCTGGCTCCTTTTTTGCAACATGTGTGAATTTTACTCCAAATAAGTATATTTTTCCCACAAGTTTCTGATGACCACAAATGATGACTAAGTTTTCCAAACACTGTTGATGACAAACAAGGAGACACTACAAGAAAATGACAGTTTAAAACTGATTAACTCATCTTAAAACTATTCACAACTAAGTAAACAGGCATACTAATAACAACAAAAATGAGTTACACATAAGGAGCTAATGTGATTCCAAAAATATCTTACCTCTTCACATTCAACACCTTGGAATACATTTACAGTGCCTTCACAATCTCTGCATTCTGTGGGGAATCTCAATTTTCGGAACTTATGAGTAACAGCTGCTTTTGACATCAATGGTTTCTTAAATGCTTCAAGGGAACTGGGTCCTTACAACAAAAATGTTATTGTATAGGAGGGTAAATTGACCAAAAAACAAAACAAAACAAAAACCAAACCTATATATCTATATATATATATATCATGATATTGTACTTGAAATAATTTTTAGACTTTGAGATTAYTCATATATTACAAAAAGCTATTATTTTGAGTTTCTAACATGAAAAAAGCATCCAATTTATAGATCTCTTTTATAAAAAATACTTTTATTCAACATTTTATCCATGAGTAAAAATCTCCATCAAACCCATAAAATAATTGGAAGATACTATGGCATAATGTTTTCTGAATCAGTAAATTTAAGCCAAGCACAATGGTGTATGCCTGTGATCCTAGCAATTTAGGAGGTTGAGGCAGGAGAATTACAAGTTTGAGGCCCACCTCAGCAACTTTAGTKAGACACTGTCTTGAAATAAAAAATGAAAAAGGCCAAGGATGGCATCTCAGTGATAGAATGCCCCAGAGTTCAATCCCTAGTCCCAGGGGGAAAAATAATATTTATACTTGTATTAATATGCTCTTCACAGAGTTGGGRATTATGTTCATAGGTGGCATATGAATGCTACAMATGCTTCAATGAAGAACAGCAACATGAGGCGAGTATGTTAGAAATATTTACATTAAGGATAGATCTCTTCTTAATTCATTATAAAATTATAGGTAATACTAGCTAGTTATATTTTAATATTATATTAATATTCCACTAATTTGGGAAATTATGCCAAGACAGGCATCTGCAGGTATCAAATGTACAAAATTATTTTGTATGAGTCTAATTTGAGTCATTAAGGTAACTGACTTTTATATCCTTCAGCACCCAAAACATTCCTTATTCTGAAGAAGTACACTGAATCTGCTCTTCCTGCTTGATTTCTTATACTCTTTCTTTAGAAGGAGATTTCTCAGACTTTCTCAGGCATGCTCCCTTTTAACAGTAAGTCATTGGATTTATGAAAGAAGACCACTCCTAGCCTGCTATTTTAATACYATGCCAATACATTTTAGATCTACTAATTTTGTTGCTTATTTTTTTTTTTTTAAGTTTTTGGTGGTGCTGGGAATCGAACCTATTGAACCTATGACCTTGTGTATGCTAAGCAAATACTCTACCACTAAGCTATTATCCCTAACCCTGCTGCTTATTTCAGTTATAATAATAACTGATTATTATATTGTCAACTAATACTTGAACATAATTATTGGGATATATTTAAGTTACTGTGTGGCGCTTTTGTTTAGTACACAGCAAAGTAATGATTCTTTAAAAAGATACTATCTTACTAACATCATGAGGTGCTACTACTTCAACCAATTTAATGGATTTTCATTCAGGTGAATACAATACAATACCAGCTTCTGAAGGGGAAGGTGGCTCTCTTTCATCTAAATCATCTGCAGAAGACATGGTTCCACTGGATGGAGTTTGTGGAACTTTTTGATGAAAGTCTCCTAAAAGAAAATTGTTGCTACCATTACCTGGCTATTCATTATAGAATATTACAAATAGGGGGCTGGGACTGTGGCTTAGTGGTAGCGCACTTGCCTTGCATGGGTGAGGCATTGGGTTCAATTCCCAGTACCACATATAAATAAATAAAATAAAGATCTATCAACAACTAAGAGAAAAAGTATTAAAAAAGAATATTACAAATGGGAAATGACAATATTTTTGGAATTATACAAGTCACACTATTTTATTAGCTTCACTGGAAAATTTTGCTTGCTTTTTTATCTTTTTTAAAAAAATATTTTATTAGTTGTTGATGGACCTTTATTTATTTATATGTGGTGCTGAGAATTAAGCCCAGTGCCTCATACATGCTAGGCAAGTGCTTTACCACTGAGACACAACCTCACCCCTCCATTCTTATATTCTAGATAACAGGGAGTTCTGATGTTCATTCATTCCTGGGAAAAAAAAGAATTTAACTAAATCCATCTGACTTTTCCAAATAAATTTAAAATTAGGTCATATATTCCTATGAGAATTTACTGACAACTTCTGATAGAAAGTATTAGAGGTTGTAAGCCTCACAAAGATAGGTAGTATCTGATATTCATGTTCTATATCTAATATCTGACAGTGGCTAACAAAATAGTAAAGTTGTCATTAAATGTTTCCTAAGTTATAAATAAATGTATATAATCTAAGGCCTTCTAAGGTATACAAAAATCATTTGAACCCAATAATCCAATAGTAAAATTAAATTATGTTATTAGTAATTCAGGAGATAGGAGCCAGGAACAACAACCCAGGGATCTCTAGCCAGGAGCTGAAACCACAAGTTCAAACTATGTCAAAGGACACTGCTGTGTATATATCAAAGCTGGTATGGAAGCAGACTGACTAGCAGAGATTTACTCTGATGAAATTATAAACAGGTCTGCAACTGAGTAAAGAATTCATCTTAACTCAAAATACTTAAAAAAAAAAAGGCTTTGGAATTTGATGAAGTCAAACCCTATAACATCCCCCAAGGGCTAGGAGGAAGGCAGATAGCCAGAAAGGACTATAGCAGTCTTTGGTGGAAGAATGTGTAAGCAAGACTCTCTTGGGTTTAAATGTGACCTTCTCCTGCTAGCTATAAAACCTATGGTGAATTATCCCAATTAAGGACTTTAAGGCAGACATGGTGGTTATAATTGGGACTAGATCTCATCCATAAAGCCTGATTTTCTAATTCCAGAGCTCTAGTTCATTTAATGATCAAATGAGCAATCTGTTCCTTCATAAACCTGTATTCTCTTCAGAGTGAAAAGCACCTGTTAGGTCTGCATTCTTAGAGCATCTTTCCTCTTCTGTTTCATTACAATTGTCAGGAAGGTGCAAAACATCCTCTAAAGCATCAGCAGGGCCACATCTAGGCTTCTGGGAACTAYTTGTTAATGGTTTATTTACATTCCTAAGAAAAAGCAAATAAAGCTCAGCACTAACAATATCTACTTTATAACACAGTCAGAAAAATTTGTTCATTTAATAAATGTAGAGTAATTAACTGAATATTATGAACAAATTATTACATGGTTCAGCTTCTTAAAGGAGATATGGGTAAAACTTATTTTCACAGTTGAAACATGAACAGGAATAGCAATGGTACAGTTAGTAATTCACTTTATGATTAAACTTTTCCAACATCACCTCAGTGGAAAATGTAGGTTAAATTTTGTGGACATTCAAAATGTGTATGTTTGTCCTTTGCCATTCCCAAAAGATTTATGTCTCACAAAACTGAAGTCTGTCAAAACGGAAAGCTTTACTCTCAAGTGAGTTACATCTATTCACTAAATGGACTAAGAAATGACAAAATAATACAAAAAAAATCCAGAAATTTATAAAGCTAATTCTATGAATGTTAGAAAAGATACCTCTTTATAATAGTCAGGAACTTAGTAAATGTCTTATTTCTAGAAATCCACGTATATAGTAATTCTTACCCATCAACTTTTTCTTCTTCAGTTGAATTTGTAGCCTTCACAGATTCACTATACTCTTGGCCTGGATCATAAAGTTTGGCGTTATCACAGAGAGACTGTAAACTGTTTGCAAGGGAGGCAGCCTGCAGGTGCTGCATCTGGAAGAGGTTAACTGTTACCTATAGTCACAGAGACAAAAGGCAGAAACAACTCCTGATATACAGAATGCATTATAAATAAATGTACATTGATTTCAATGAATGCACCAATGTAAAGGGCATATAAGTAAAACAGCACTGAATACCACTGTATACATGGTATACTGCCTAATATTATGAAAGATAAGGATTTTAAATAAAAAAGCAGTTTTAATCTAATATCTAGGAGTKATCATTTCCTGCAAAACGGTTTTAAACTGTAAAGTGTAAAAGGTACAACCGACTCCCCTGATGGTTCACAATCTGAGGATCCACAGCTCTGTACCCTGCTGGTTTGACCACACTGCCTACACTTACTTATATGACCGTGATCAAGTTATTGATAACCAGTGACTTGAAGAAAATTGACATTCGAATGAATCACCGGAGAGACCTTGTTCAAATGCAAAGTGTGGATTGAAACCCAAGATCCTGCATTCCTTATAGGCTTCCAAAGTAATGGCAATATGAYTGTTTCAAAGACCTCATTTTTAGAGAAAAGGTTTTCTAGAATTTTGTTTCTGCATCAGTTAAAAAGGAGGTAAAAACAATTATATTTTACCCAATATGACTACATATGAATTAAATAACTTAATGTAGACAAATAGCTCAATACACTGGTATGTAAATACTTAATCTTAAATATCATCAACTATAGTTTGAAGTGAAGAAGATGTGTCAAAGGTAAATGGTTAACCTAAATGACTTACAAGGTAATTTCAAATCCTTGGATTTTATAATCCTATTCAATTATTATATATTTCTGTAAGCTACAACATTAATTAATTAAAATTTGGTAAATTAATGAAACATAATTTTAAATACCCAAACATTTTAAATGTTTCTTATTCAGATGCAGTAATCTTACTATCCCTGGGCTACACTGAATTTGCTCAAAAACCCTGGGCAGAATGCACAAATCAGCTATCTAAGAACTCCAAAAAGAAAATGGTAGTGGATAGAATGTAGCAAATAAATTACAATTCAACATATATTTTCCTTGCTCCCACCCCAATCACATTTCCAGCCCATGCTTGGCCCCTATGCAAAAACAGTTTGAGATCCAGAAGTATACACAGGGTTTGGATAGAAAGAACTCCAAGAGAGATCCTCTCCAGTCTAAGAAACAAACAAACAAAAAGACATGGAATAGGAGATGTGACTAAAAGAGCAGGTGATAACCCTGGTTTCTTTGGTGGGTTTGTTTCCTTTCCTGCCAGATGAATTGTGCTCTAAGGAGTGAGTGGATATGAAATTCCTCTTGTTTTCCTTTATTCTCTCCTTATTTCATGACTGAGAATTGATGCCCCTGGCTCCCTGGAGGACAGCAGAGTAGGCAGTTACATTTTAGTTTCCCAGTCAGAAGACTAGGCAGGGAGGCACACTGGAGCTGGAGAGGGAATCTAACTAGATCAAATTCTGTTAAACTTAAAAAAAAGAGAAATGAATGTTCAATGGAGGTTATAAACAGGATGAAAAGTCACAGAATGTATGCTGAAAATAGTTCAGATATCATCTAATGTTACTTGTCACACAAAGAACCAGAAAAATCTCGAAAGTTTCATCAACTCACAAGTGAATAGACAGTGCACAGATATCAACACTGAAGTAACTCAGATGGTGCAATTATCAGATGAAAACTCTAAAGCAGCTATGATAACATGTTCAAGAAGTGAGGACAATCAATCTTGATACATGAACAGACAGAAGTCTTAGAAGAGAAATAGAAGATTCAAAAAAGAAACAAAAGGGAATTTTCCGATTACAAAATTTACTAAAGGATTGAATAGGAAAACGGAGTCAGTGAACCTGAAGACAAATCCATAGGACAATAAAGTTGCCCCTCAATTTATGATATACTTACTTCCTTATAAACTCACCCTAAGTTGAAGATGTATTTAAAACCCACTGTAAAGTTGAACAGTGTTAAGGCTGAGCCATAGTAAGTTGGGGACTGTTTGTAAAAACAATTAAAGGGACAAAGATTGGGGGAAAAAACAGGATCATTCAAACCTGTGAGAGCACTTGAGTCACCTGAGTTTAAGAGAGGAGAAAGAAAGTGCTACAAATAAAAATATTTGAAAACAAAACAACAACTAAAACTTTGTCGATATTTGCAAGGGTCAAACGTGTAGATTCAAGAAATTCAGTAAATCCAAAATGGGAAAATGTCAGCAAAATCCATGCACAGTATATCTTAGCCAAACTGCTGAAAAGACAAAGAAAATCTAACCTTGGAAGTAGCCAAAGAAGCAACACAAACCATACAAGGAACAATGATGCAAATGACTATGGATTTCTTCTAAGAAACCATGGAGGCCAGAGGCAGTAAAACAACATTTTTAAAGTGGTGGGGAAAGAAAAACAACAACCGAATTGTGTATTTAAAACTCAATGTACACGATCCAACATGGCAGCGGGCGCGGAGAGATCAAGTCTATGACCTCTCCAGCTGGGCAGGATAGGGAGTCGTAAACTGTCTAAATGCTGTTTGCTCAGGATCACTAGGCAATGCTGAGCTGACATGGATCTGGGGCCAACAGTTTGGGCCTCTCAGAACACACACCGAGCTCGGATCGGCTGAATTCAAGCTCCCGTTCACCTGCTTCTCATGACTCAGCACTAACGATCCCGCTGAAATAACTGGTCAGCTCTTCTAAACTTACAGAGGTAAAAACCAACTGAGCCTTCATAGGCAGTGGCCACAGGATTGAAACGGGGCTTGGGAGAGACAGTCAGGACCCACCCGTTGCATTGGTCACCCAGCAAAGGGAACGAATGGTCACCATTTGCATGGGATACCACCATGGCAGACAACTGACGTCACGGGCGGAGGAGATAACTTCATTGAAACCAGCAGTGACAGGTGTGTAATCCCMTAGCCATCCCTCTCCACACAGTGGGGAAACCTTAAGGGCCCCTCCCAGCTCTCCCGTAAGGGCCCCTCCCAGCTCTCCTGAGAGCGCGATAGCCAGACCAAGGGAATTAGGAGTGGCGCAGGACTCCCGGTGCGGAACTCCCAGCTACCGCTCACACCAGTGCTGACAACTGAGGTCTCTTGCACCAGCTACCGGGGGCGTGGCTACCGGAGGGCAAGCAAATTCACTGAGGGTTCTCAGCCCCAAGCTCTACAAACTTAGGGTCTGAGGGAGSCAAACAGGGAGAGTGTGCCCAGGCGTTCATGAAAACAGTGCTCCCAGGAGCAGCAGACCTGGCATATAGCCAGTATTGTGGTGAGCGTCACAAGTAAGCAGGGCCTGGCTCGAGGAAACACAAGAGAAGGCCCTAGACACTCAGGATTGGAGACCCACCCAGTCTGGGCGGAAGAGCTACTGCACAGTGATTGGTTCCCACCTATTGAGAGAAGAAGCTTGGTCCAGTGGGCACAGCTCCACCTACTGGAAGAGAAGTTAATCGAA